GCGTTTTTGTTATCCCGATAACAAATTGAGTTTTTATGCTTGCTGATTATCAATTTTGACGCTTCTATGAGAAATGTGATGTCTTGACGTGTCAGTTTCAGCTGTTGAAGGTTTTGTATTAGGCTGCTCATCAATTTTGACGATTCGATGAGGATGTGATGGCTTGATGTGTCAGTTTCAGCTGTTGAAGATTTTGTATTAGGATCGCAGAAACAGCGAGCGGTCTTCGCTCCAACTGATATCAGGATCAAAAAAATTTTCCCTACCTCTTCGCGCTTTTGTTATCCCGATAACAAATTGTGTTTCTATGCTGGCTGATCATCAATTTTGATGCTTCTATGAGAAATGTGATGTCTTGACGTGTCACTTTCAGCTGTTGAAGGTTTTGCATTAGGATCGCATCACCTGATATCAGGATCCAAGATTTGTCCCTACCTCTTCGTGTTTCTCCTATCCCAATAACAAATTGACTTTGTATGCTTGCTGCTCATCAATTTTGACGATTCTATGAGAAATGTGATGTCTTGACGTGTCAGTTTTAGTGATTGAAGATTTTGTATTAGGATCGCAGAAACAGCGAGCGGTCTTCGCTCCAACTGATATCAGGATCCTAAAATGTTTCCCTACCTCTTCGCGTTTTTGTTATCCCGATAACAAATTGAGTTTCTATGCTTGCTGATCATCAATTTTAACGCTTCTATGAGAAATGTGATGTCTTGACGTGTCAGTTTCAGCTGTTGAAGGTTTTGTATTAGGATCGCAGGATAAGCGATATGTGTTCGCTTCAACTGATATCAGGATCCAAAATTTGTCACAACCTCTTCGTGTTTCCGTTATCCCAATAACAAATTGACTTTGTATGCTTGCTGCTCATCAATTTTGACGATTCTGTGAGGATGTGATGGCTTGATGTGTCAGTTTTAGCGGTTGAAGACTTTGTATTAGGATCGCTGAAACAGAGAGCGGTCTTCGCTCCAACTGATATCAGGATCAAAAAATGTTTTCCTACGTCTTCGCGTTTTTGTTATCCTGATAACAAATTGAGTTTCTATGCTTGCTGATCATCAATTTTGACGCTTCTATGAGAAATGTGAGGTCTTGAAGTGTCAGTTTCAGCTGTTGAAGGTTTTGTATTAGGATCGCAGGATAAGCGATAGGTGTTCGCTTCAACTGATATCAGGATCCAAAATTTGTCCCTACCTCTTCGTGTTTCTGTTATCCCAATAACAAATTGACTTTGTATGCTTGCTGTTCATCAATTTTGACGATTCTATGAGGATGTCATGGCTTGATGTGTCAGTTTCAGCTGTTGAAGATTTTGTATTAGGATCGCAGAAACAACGAGCGGTCTTCGCTCCAACTGATATCAGGATCAAAAAATGTTTTCCTACCTCTTCGCGTTTTTGTTATCCTGATAACAAATTGAGTTTCTATGCTTGCTGATCATCAATTTTGACGCTTCTATGAGAAATGTGATGTCTTGACGTGTCAGTTTCAGCTGTTGAAGGTTTTGTATTATTATCCAGGATAAGCGATAGGTGTTCGCTTCAATTGATATCAGGATCCAAAATTTGTCACTACCTCTTCGTGTTTCTGTTATCCCAATAACAAATTGACTTTGTATGCTTGCTGTTCATCAATTTTGACGATTCTATGATGATGTCATGGCTTGATGTGTCAGTTTCAGCTGTTGAAGATTATGTATTAGGATCGCAGAAACAACGAGCGGTCTTCGCTCCAACTGATATCAGGATCAAAAAATGTTTTCCTACCTCTTCGCGTTTTTGTTATCCTGATAACAAATTGAGTTTCTATGCTTGCTGATCATCAATTTTGACGCTTCTATGGGAAATGTGATGTCTTGAAGTGTCAGTTTCAGCTGTTGAAGGTTTTGTATTAGGATCGCAGGATAAGCGATAGGTGTTCGCTTCAACTGATATCAGGATCCAAAATTTGTCCCTACCTCTTCGTGTTTGTGTTATCCCAATAACAAATTGACTTTGTATGCTTGCTGTTCATCAATTTTGACGATTCTATGAGGATGTCATGGCTTGATGTGTCAGTTTCAGCTGTTGAAGATTTTGTATTAGGATCGCAGAAACAACGAGCGGTCTTCGCTCCAACTGATGTCAGGATCCAAAATTTTTTCCCTACCCCTTCGCGTTTTTGTTATCCCGATAACAAATTGAGTTTCTATGCTTGCTGATCATCAATTTTGACGCTTCTATGAGAAATGTGATGTCTTGACGTGTCAGTCTCAGCTGTTGAAGGTTTTGTATTAGGATCGCAGGCTACGCGATAGGTGTTCGCTTCAACTGATATCAGGATCCAAAATTTGTCCCTACCTCCCACAAGAAAATTGGAGTAGATTGGTCAAGTAGTTTTTGAGAATTTCTAATTGTTTATTCCAAATACCTGTTTTCCGGCCATCAGTTTATTGAACAATATATAGGGTTAGTTCAAAGGATATTTCATAGCGTAAAAGGGTTACGTTTCTCTTCTAAACAAAAGATGATAGACACATCTATTGAGGCGCATTTGTTCAATTACTCACAGATACGAAATGTCTGAATTTGTTTAGAAGAAAAAAACCTATCCTTTGTTTTTCCCACAAAATTAAAATTTATCTTCCAGAATGGTTTGTGATTCATATCGGCAAGGTAAACACGTATTTGGCTATTAAATGCTCTTTGATCGGATACTATACAGGGTGACGCATCGAAAACGAAACAGACGTATTTACTGGCAGCTCAGTTTGTTTTTGGAAAAACGCTCAGACCCGTCGATTTTGTTTTCGAGGGGGACACAAGTTTGGCAAAAAATCACGTTAACACGTGCATTCCCCTGGGCGGGGGTGACACCAACCCTAAAATCTTAAATGGAAAGGGGGCTCGAATGATACCTTATTTTGAAGGTCTTTCAATTCCCTTTATAATGATGTAAAATGCATGAGTTCAGTAGTTTTGAAGATTTATTAATTTAAAGCTTAAAGTAGACTTTAATAGGTACATCAGATTACTTTGTACTACTTTCAAAAGAAATTTGACTAAAAGAATTTACTTAATAAGTAAATGCTTTTCTTCACTACGCCCATGGTTTGTTTATCATTTTGTTGTTGAAAATAGCTATTGGAGCGTTTTTTTGTGGCTAAAAAGTTATTTCTTGAAGAAAGATAAGGAAATATCTCGTACTTATTTTAAATAGGAATTTAGTACATAGTTTGCGATTGCTTTTACCAAAACTTGTTGCTAAAAGAACTTGTAACGCTTTATTACATAAATTAACCAAGGTATATTCCACAGCAGAAAGAGTTGAAATTATCGAAATATTTTCCGGTATTTTTGGCGATCGTTTAGTTGGTCCTTTTTTATTACCTGGAAATTTGACCAGTGAAATGTATTTGGAATTACTGGAAGATGCCATAGATACTGCATTAACAGCCATAATTGAAAATCAGAATGATCGGCGGTACATTGCGAATAGGTTGATGTTCCAACAGGATGGTGCCCCACCATATTACCCATTACGTGTTCGACAATATTCAGATCAGACGTTTCCAGATCGATGGATTGGTAGAAGAGGTGCCATTGAATGGCCCCCAAGATCGCCAGATGTATCACCTTTGGATTTCTTTATGTGGGGTCATTTAAAAAGCAAAATCTATGCTACTCAGCCAACATCATTGGAAGACCTGCGACAAAGAATTGTGAATGAGTGCCTTCAAATTACTCCTCAAATACTGCAAAATGTGCGGCAACGTTTTGAGCAAAATCTTTATTATTGCATGGAGAGTCAAGATGGCCATTTACAACATTTACTTGCCTAACGGGTCAGTTCATTCTTTATTTTTAAATTACTTTGCTGCCAAATGTATTGATCTCTACTAATGATGATGTATTAGTTTTATTTAACACGTTCGCTGCCAAACATATTTTTTAACATGTGTCCATTACGTCAAACATATATTTTACAGTGAGCACTAGTGGGCCACCATATAAAAACGACGTTGGTCCCATCGGGGCCACATTCCTCATTCTGGAAAAATCTAAGAAATTGTGCGGCGTATAGCTTCTAGGCCACGTTGGTCCATTTCTGCAGGCGTCAACGGCCCAGCAGCTATTAGAAAATGCGTTGACCCCATGGGGCAAACATAGCCTGGTAAGGCAAAATATATGTTGGCCCTATTGGACCAATATGGCCTGCTGAGGCAACATGAGTGTTGGTCCTATAGGACCAACGTGGCAGTGAACGTGTTAAGCTTTATATCAATAAACCTTCAAAACTACTGAACTGAAGTACATTAATTTTATATCATTATAAAGGGAATTGAAAGACCTTTAAAATAAGGTATCACTCGACCCTCCTTTCCACTTAAGATTTTGGGGGTGGGGTCACCCCCGCTTAGGGGGCTGCACGTTCTATGGTGATTTTTTGCCAAACTTGTGTCCCCCTCGAAAACAAAATCGACGGTTCTGAGCGTTTTTCCAAAAAAAAAACTGAGCTGCCAGTAAATGCGTGTGTTACGTTTTCGGTGCGCCACCCTGTATATTGCTCAATAAACTAGTAGTGATGGCCTGAAAACAGGTGTTTTGAGATAAACGATTATAAATTGTACAAAACTACTTGACCAATTTACTCAAATTTTGTTATTTTTATTTAGAAGTATGAATCCTACGGATTTGAAGAATTTCAAGTAGTTGCGTGATTATATCGTCGCATTACCATGAACACTTACGACTGAATCCCAAAAAACACATTTTCTCATTCTTTGTTGTCAAATAAAAAGTTTTCCCACAAAAATTGGTGTACTCATTCAATGCGTCCATGTTTTAAATAGCCCATTGAACTACTTGCGTCAGTAAAACCAGACTTTATTCACAATAATTCCGGAGAAATTTTTTATTGTGATTAGACTAAATAGCCCGTGAGCTGTTGCATCTCGCCCGGTTCTACCGGGTCGACTACGACTACCATCATTGTCAAAATCAAAACACCTATGATACAAAAAGTAGAACCTTTATTACAACTTTCACAGACAGTAGTACCTTGAATACAAATTCCTTATGTTACGTGAAATCTACCCTAGTCCGTGTGCACTTGTTCGATTTTTGAACATCCTTTCGTACAAACGGCGGCACACTCAACGGAGTCCGTCTGCATGGTCTTGTCTATTTTCAAAATGGGTTCCCTAGGGGTTGGGGGCTGTTGCTGTGGCAGGAGTTGTCGCTGAGGTTTCCTCGGGGGGATGCAGTTTATGGGCTGGAAGGGGATGCATAGGCCGGAGGTAGCTAAGAACTCGGCCTCTTTGGTCACTCGACCTGTTGAAGAAAGTAGATGCATCGTTAGTTTTCAAGGATAATACAAAAAAATTCGTGGTTTCGGCACGCTGACATATTCTATACTAAGTGACAGTTTAAATGGTTTTATTTCTATAAAAGTTGGTGAATGTATTCATCTTACTGTAAGTAACAAGTGAAAAAATTTTCAGCCTTATCAGTTGGACATTCCGGTTTTTATACTGCTTTTTTTAAATTCACTAACGCTCTAAAAATGAATATTTCAGCCGCAGTAAAGAATCAACTTTGGCGGATTTTGGTTCTTGACATCCTTTACGATCGGTTACGATGCCTAGAGTACGGAGACCTGTACGATTTCGTCAACTTAGTGAGTTTGATAGGGGCCGTATAGTGGGACTTCGGGCAATTGCAGTTAGAGTGCAAAGAAGTGTAGACACTGTGGTTAGGTGTTGCCAGGCATGGCTTCGAGAAGGCCCTACGCAAAGAGCAAGGGGCACTGGACGCCGCCGTAGAACAACAGACCGTGAAGATCGCCGCCTAAGATTATTGGCCTTAAGGGACCGTTTCTCCACTACCAGGTCCATTGCAAATGAATGGTTTGCAGAACACGGAAGACCTATTGGCATGCGAAGTGTTTACCGACGAATGAGAAGTTTTGGCTTGTTTTCATACCGGCCACACTGGGTCCTCCCATTAACTCGAGAACACCGACGTAATCGCCTTGAGTCGTGCAGACAACGGTCACTCTGGGATCAGGAATGGAACAGTATTGTCTTTAGTGACGAGTCTCGATTTTGTTTAGGCATGCACGATGGTCGTGCCAGGGTTAGAAGGCGACGTGGTGAAAGGAGGAATCCAGAGTTTTTTGTTGAAAGACATGTTCATCACACTGTTGGAGTTATGGTTTGGGGTGCTATAGCTTATGGTTCCAGGTCACCTTTAATCTTCATCAGAGGTAACATGAACGCGCAGCGTTATATCCACGAAGTTCTAGAACCCCATCTTTTACCCTATCTTGACACCCTGGCAGATCCAACTTTCCAATAAGATAATGCCCGACCACATGTTGCAAGAATCACAATAGACTTCTTTCAACATAATGATGTCACATTGTTACCATGGCCACCAAGATCTCCCGACTTATCCCCAATTGAGCACGTATGGGATATGATGGGTAGGAGATTGCTCAATTTGCAACGTCCTCCTCAGACTCTAGAAGCACTTCGAGAGGAGTTGGTGGTTGCCTGGAATGAGATACCACAGGAGGACATTGACCACCTGATCAGAAGCATGCCTAGGCGCGTTCGAGAATGCGTAGCACATCAGGGTGCATCCACATATTATTAAAGGTCAAAAGGCTTTAAAGCAGTGCAATCATTTTGAAATTTTTATCATTTACTTATTATGCTTCATTAAGTACTTATACAAAATTTTATTAAAATAAAACCATTTAAACTGGGTGTTCGGATTTATATGTCACTTAGTATATTTTAAATTCATAATATCATTTTACAGTTTTTCTGCTAATGTTGTTCTTTCCAACAAATTTTAATGTTTTGTGAACTTACAATTTTGTATTTTATTCTCTACTTTGACCTGTGTAAGCACACAAGTGTATTAAGCACCAATAAAGAAATGAAAATGATCTTCCAGTACATGTAACTAAGTAACTAATTGCTTGCTAAAGTGGAAATTAAGAACAATCTAGCAGAAATGTTCCAACCCATTTCACGTGTCAAATCGATAAATGACGACACAAAAAATAAGGTTGTTGCTTAATAGATTGTATTGCAGTCAGTATTTTTAATTTACCAAAAGACGGGCAGTTTACCTGTTGAAGACGCAAGTTTAGCTCTGCTAGTGACATATGCAGATAGACATCAGAATGTATAATTACATACGCTGAGCACCACTGTTATTATTGGCTGATATGATGTAGCCTGGCGAAATTACTGTACAGCGGGCTCCCCATTGTTCATTATTCCGACCAAATATTGGAATTGCATAATTCAGTGTTTATCGAGGCCCATAGAGGCTTCTACTAAGTAGTACTAATTTTTAACCTGATGTGTTTTAAATTTCCAAAACAACGATACTAGCATTATTAGAATAAGAATACGGCGCAAAACATACGGGAGATAGAGTACAATGAAGTCGACTGAATTTGCAGTACGTCCTTTTGATTAAGAGTTCCCGCGTCACAAAGTTTCATAACGAACAGTTGTCCCAATATACTGTATCGAGCAGAGATCAAGAATATATCAGGTAACCAAATAAGTTCATGCGGTTGCTGTATATCGCACATTGCCATGGATGTTGTTGATCGATAGCGATTGTTTGTTACCTGTTGTCACGTTAGTATGAATCCTTCTTTTCTCAGACACATAACAAGTTGCTGAAAATTGTTACATACCTAGTTTTAATATACTAAGTGACATATAAATCCAAACACCCAGTTTAAATGGTTTTATTTTAATAAAAGTTGGTGAATGTATTTATCTTACTGTAAATAACAAGTGAAACATTTTTCAGCCATATCAGTTGGACATTCCGATTTTTATACTGCTTTTTTTTAATTCACCAGCGCTCTAAAAATGAATATTTCAGCCGCAGTAAAGAATCAACGTTGGCGGATTTTGGTTCTTGACATCCTTTACGATCGGTTACGATGCCTAGAGTACGGACACCTGTACGATTTCGTCAACTTAGTGAGTTTGATAGGGGCCGTATAGTGGGACTTCGGGAAGCTGGACTTTCTTTTCGGCAATTGCAGTTAGAGTGCAAAGAAGTGTAGACACTGTGGGTAGGTGTTGTCAGGCATGGCTTTGAGAAGGCCGTACGCAAAGAGCAAGGGGCACTGGACACCGCCGTAGAACAACAGACCGTGAAGATCGCCGCCTAAGATTATTGGCCTTAAGGGACCGTTTCTCCACTACCAGGTCCATTGCAAATGAATGGTTTGCAGAACACGGAAGACCTATTGGCATGCGAAGTGTTTACCGACGAATGAGAAGTTTTGGGTTGTTTTCATACCGGCCACACTGGGTCCTCCCTTTAACTCGAGAACACCGACGTAATCGCCTTGAGTGGTGCAAACAATGGTCACTCTGGCATCAGGAACGGAATAGTATTGTCTTTAGTGACGAGTCTCGATTTTGTTTAGGCTTGCACGATGGTCGTGCCAGGGTTAGAAGGCGACGTGGTGAAAGGAGGAATCCACAGTTTTTTGTTGAAAGACATGTTCATCACACTGTTGGAGTTATGGTTTGGGGTGCTATAGCTTATGGTTCCAGGTCACATTTAATATTCATCAGAGGTAACATGAACGCGCAGCGTTATATCCACGAAGTTCTAGAACCCCATCTTTTACCCTATCTTGACACCCTGGCAGATCCAACTTTCCAACAAGATAATGCCCGACCGCATGTTGCAAGAGTCACAATAGACTTCTTTCAACATAATGATGTCACATTGTTACCATGGCCACCAAGATCTCCCGACTTATCCCCAATTGAGCACGTGTGGGATATGATGGGTAGGAGATTGCTCAATTTGCAACGTCCTCCTCAGACTCTAGAAGCACTTCGAGAGGAGTTGGTGGTTGCCTGGAATGAGATACCACCTGATCAGAAGCATGCCTAGGCGCGTTGGAGAATGCGTAGCACATCAGGGTGCATCCACACATTATTAAAGGTCAAAGGGCTTTAAAGCTGTGCAATCATTTTGAAATTTTTATCATTTACTTATTATGCTTTATTAAGTACTCATACAAAATTTTATTAAAATAAAACCATTTAAACTGGGTGTTCGGATTTATATGTCACTTAGTATAAATGTATGTATTCTGAAATAGAGACGTGCTGTGGCGTGGAATTGAAAAAGTCTTTCTATATCTAATATTAATACGATGCATATTCCCTCTACGTATGAATTTGTTTACTAAATATGACGGTGTTTTTGAATAAAGAATCTTATGAGTCAGATTTAGGAGCTGGTACTTATACATTTTATCAATTTTCACCCATTTGAGTTCATTAATGGCATTCAATATATGATCATACTTTCTGAGACCATTTACAAGCCTGCAACATGTATTCATAATACTTTGAATACGATTTCTTGTTATAATATCTAAATAGGGATAGTAAACCACTAAGCAATACGACATCTTTGAAAACACGAAATATTCACACAATTGCTTTCTCGCAGATTTATGTAATATAGCCTTATTTGCATATAAAACTCTGAGAATAGCGTAGCACTGAGTAACAACATAGTTCACGTGTGCAACAAATTTCAAGTCATCATCCATTATAATACCTAGGTTTTTTGAATGATCCACAGGAATTAATTTATTATCTTTTAAAAGTATGTCTATATCCTTTTTCAAGGTATTCTTTTTTGTTCTATTTGCGTATACCAACATATTTGTCTTCAAAGGGTTCAAACGAAGATTATGACTACTACTGAACTTTTCAATTTGCGCAAGATCTTGATTAATTTTATTATTTGCCGTTTCCAAGTCATTACTCCTAAATGAATAGAAAATTTGAGTATCATCTGCAAAAAATTGTATGCTGCATGATTTTACCTCTGTTTCTAAATCTGAGATATATAATGAAAATAATAGCGGTCCTAAGACTGATCCCTGTGGTACACCAGAACAAATTTTTTGTTCCGTAGAGTACTGTTGATTTAGACGAACTTTTTGATACCGATTTTCAAGGTAGGTTTGAATAAACGAAAGAGGTTTTTCAGAAAATCCATAGTAACTGCATTTAGATACAAGAAGCGAGTGATTAATGGTGTCAAATGCTTTAGTAAAGTCAAGAAGTATGAGAGCTACTGCTTTTTGGTTATCAAGTGCCATTGTTATATTGTCTGTTAAATCACAGAGTGCCGAAGCTGTATTATGACCTTGTCTAAATCCAGATTGTTTAGATGGAATAATTTTGTTAGAATATAAGTAGGCGCAGAGCTGCTCGTAAACAACGCGTTCCAATACTTTAGAAAAAATTGGCAGTAGACTGATCGGTCTCAGTTGATCATAGTTAGTAGGATCAGAACACTTAGGTAGCGGAATAACTATAGCGCGTTTCCACTGATTGGGAAAGTATCCCCTCTTTAAACAGCAGTTTATAATATACGTTAAGTACACATTAATTTCAGGTATACATAGTAGTATGATATTCAAAGTTATTCCATCTGTACCACTAGAATTTGATTTTATTTTATGTATAATTTTAACAACGGTGTCAATAGTCATTTTATTAAATTGAAATTTGAATTTTGAGTTATTTTTATTAGCTCGGTAATATGCAACTTTATCAGCACAAGCCGAATCACTATTCTCGAAAATTAATAAGACAAGGAAATACAAGCCCCTTCCCACTTCGGTTGGCCCAACTATTGATTCATAGTTTTTTTCTTATCAAACACAAATAATAAAAATGTAGCAGGGTGTTATAGGTTTAAAATATTACCAATGAATATTTTGATAATATATAGTAGAAAACACCAACTTTATCACTCCCTAATCAAATTTGCAGCATAAAAATAACACATGTTACAATTACAGCATATCAACCTATTTTCATTTCAGTGCAACATAAGTCTATAACGCATAGGTGGCTATGAAAAATAAAAGCCATGACAATTGTTTTTATTAATCACATCTGTCAGAATACGTTTAAAAAGTTTTGGGTAGTTAACGTTTTCAAAATGGGTAGAGGAAAGGTTATTAGTGAGAAACTTCGGTTACTGATAATTAATTTTTTTAATTCTGGGAAATCAAACTGAGAAATTGCAACTTTGTTAGACTTATCGCGGTACAGTATGAGAAATATTGTTAGAAGATATAACGTAACTGGATCAGTTAATATTAAGCCACGATATGTGAAAAAAAGTAATATCACAAATGCCGACCGAAGAGCATTAAGAAGAATAGTCATCGAAAACAGGCATGCCAATTATTTACAATTAAGTGCTCTGTGGAGTGACGCTGTTGGAAGGAGCATTTCGAGGTCCACAACTCATAGAGAGGCCCACAAACAGGGTTTAGCACTTGCAAGGTAAGTTTTCTTATAAAAAAATTGAAGTAAAAACCCTAAAGTCGCACAACTTGTTTATAGGCCAAAGAAAAGCCACTATTAACTCCACTGCAAAAGAAAAATTGGCTCAGATGGGCTAAAGAACATAGACAATGGACACCTCAACAATGGTGTGCAATACAATGGAGTGATGAGGCCCGATCCGAAGTTTGTGTTGGTGACAGTCGCAGTAGAGTTATTCGCAAAAAAATGAAGCATTCCATGTTAACTGTCTCACGAGAAAAGTGAAATTTCCAGCATCCATTATGGTCTGGGGCAGTATGTCATCAAAAGGAGTATGAAAACTTCATTTTATTGATGGAAATGTGGATACAAACAAATATTTGGCAATTTTAGAAGAATCGCTTTTACCAGTGATGGAAGAATGTTTGACATCCGGCCAAGATTTTATGTTTCAGCAAGATGGTGTAGCGTGCCATACCTCAAAAAAGGCTATAAAATGGATGGAAGAAAATAATGTAACACTTTTGAAATGGGTTTCTAGCAGTCCAGATCTGTCACCTATTGAAACTTTGTGGCACGAGATGAAAAAGGTTCGACGACAACATCCTGCTCGTACAATCGCCGAACTGACACAAAAGCTTCAAGAAATATGGGATTGTTCCACACCAAATTTTTGCCAAAACTTGGTTAACACTAAGCCTCAAAGAATTTCAGCCGTAATAAAAAATAAAGGTGATGTTACCCATTGGTAGTCTTTCAATTGTTGCTTTGTTAACTTCGCGCATTTATTCGCACATTGTTTATTTGTTCAGATCATCTATTAGTTATAGGTCTAAGTAATTTCAAATATGTATTTTTTACGACTAGAGAGTATCTAAAATGTTTTTGGGAAAATAAATTGTTTTAGAAGTAAATAGTTTCGTCATGCTTAGTTTATAAACGCATATTTTGGCACAACTGAAGTGGGAAGCGGCTCGTATATTCATTAATTCTACTGAACTTTAATTCGAAGACTGTTGAGTATTGAGCTTTGCATTTTTGGAAGCATTTGAGGATCAGGATGTGTACAACAAACTGCAAATTCCGTTAATTTCACTGCACCCCCTTTCCTATATGTTTTGTGCGGTGCTCTTCAATTACTCGCATTCCAACAAGATAGAGAACAGTTTATTTTTGATATCCAAGTTACCTGGTGGCAAAGCAGCATTCCGAGATGCTCCTAATCGACCTGGCAGCGTATTGTAGCAGTTCCCTTTGAACTCCCCTGGAATAACAGCACGCCCGGCGTTGGTCATCAGTCCCAGGGGATCCAGTCTGACATCATTCTGGAAGTCGTACATACAACTCTCTTCCTTGATCCCGTACAAGCTTCTCCTAACGAACCTCCTGCCGCCTATAAGTCCTTCATTATCTCCTGCTCCTATGCTTTCCGTACCATTTATCAGATCAGGATTCTGCTCCTGGTACATCTTCAGAACAGCGAGATCCTGGAACTGCGTATTGTTCGGTTTCTCTTGCAAAGAAACGCTTTTCAATCCCAAAGCTGCTTTGTTATCGACTATGTTTATGGTTTCGTCTTCGCTTGAGCTTTCCTTGTACGTCACGTGTCGCTTCTGCTTCAAGCTTCTTTTGTGTTTCACGATGTACGTGATAACAACGAAACTCAGCAAAAGTACCAGTAAGAGTGCTGCTGCTATCAGCAACAAAATCAATTCAAGATAAAGCTCCTCAGTTTCACCCAACGATTTGCTTATATGGACTTTCACAGTAAAGTTAGCTCTGGATATGCCAGCTGCATTCTCAGCTTCGCATATGAAAGTACCGTTGTCTTCTATGCCTACGTCTTCAATGAACAGCTCACTATATCTTCCTTCAGTGCTAATATCGATTACGTATACTGTGTTGTTTCTTATCAATTCCCCTTCAAAGTACCAACTTATCATAGCAGGTGGAGTAGCGTTTACTTGACAGATGAGTGATATGTTTCTTCCTTGCTGTACTTCAATGTAAGATGCTTTTGGTTCGATCTCAGGCAGACATGCCAGTGAATATTTTGGTACTGATTTGATAGGAACGTCGAAAAATTCGGGTGGTTCCGCACAGACAGGTTCACTAGATAATGGGAACCCAAAACTTTTCAACCATTTTTGGAGACCAGAGATGTTGCAGTCACATATCCAAGGGTTACCTTGCAACTGGACGCCTTTGAGGCTGAGAGGTAGGTTGTGATACACTGGAAGGGTGCTGAGTTTGTTCATTCCCAAATTCAACCACTCGAGGCTGAACAGTCCTCTGAATGCCTCTGGAGCTATACTAGATATCGCGCAGCTGCTCAAATCCAGAGTGTTCAATAACGGGAGGTGACTGAAGACGTCCTTTTGGAGAGTCTTTATCGGATTGGAGTGGAGATAAAGTTTCATGAGGGAGCCACAACCCTCGAATGATGCTGGTGAAACCTCAATGAGTTTATTTTCTGATAAATCTAGCTCGACGAGGTTCGTTAGGCCATTGAATGCTTTAGATTGGATGTAACTCACTTTACATCTAGACAAGTATATCCTTTGCAGGTTGATCAATCCCAAACGGAGAAACTTTTCAGCATGCAAAGTCTGCAAGTTATTTCCTGAGAAGTGCAGAACTTGAGTGTCAGGTTCAACTCCTTCAGGGATGATGAGCAGGTCCCGATCTGAGCATTCCACAGTTTGCTTGCCATTCTTCCACTTGCAGATGCAAGAGGAAGGGCAACAGCTTGTCGATCCGATAAGTAACATAATGATGGTTATCAGATACATTACGTTGCTTCAGCTTTTCGATGATCCTAGCATGATGACATCAGTAGTGTTGTCTTATGAGTAGGTTGTTTCGGGCTGCTCGGGGAAGCTCTGGTTCAGCATCTGAAACAAGTAAGTAACACTTTCAAATACAGATGATTATGTGCCTGTGTAGTGCAAACCAAATAACTAGTATTTCAGTCGGCTCGTCTTTTGTATTTATTCCGTTTAACGTAGTCGAGATCGTTCTCGAACAGATCGCTCACCGCAGCGCTGCCGCTGCTTGTGTTTATTATGAGAATTTACAAAATTTACGGAAGCTTCTATCCATTGATCTTTACATCTCAGTCCACAACTATACCTCGAATCCTTTGTCATTTGACGACCTACGACCGATAAGTCTTTTGCCTCTTCTATCCAAAATACTGGAACGCGCAGCTTATATCCAGATTTACGAGTACTAGGATAAAAATAATATTATAAGTGTTCAACAATCGGGTTTTAAAAAAAATCATAGCACTACTACGGCTTTAGTGGACTTGATCGATGGCATAATTTCCGCGCTTGACAATAAAAACTTGTGTGCTCTTGTCCTTTTAGATTTCTCGAAAGCATTTGATACATTGAATCACAAACTGCTTGTAGCCAAATGTCATTACTATGGCTTTGATGATCTTGCTTGTAAGCTCATCAAGTCATATTTAAGTGATCGGTCGCAAGTGGCTGTGGTTGATGGTCAGATGTCTTTGCCAAATAAAGTTCAGTCCGGAGTACCTCAAGGCTCCGTATTAGCTCCATTGCTTTTTTTGTTATACACCGCGGATCTTCAAGATACTGTCAAGCACTGTCATGTGCAATTCTTTGCCGATGACACTCTGGTAAAGTATGATTTTCCAGCCTCACGCTACTCTGAAGCCCAACACCAAATCAATGAAGATTTGTCAAGTATTAGCCGCTATTGCACTATTGCAAGTGAAATTAACCTCAAGCTCAACCCATCGAAGTGTAAAGCATTGCTATTTGGCAATATCAAAATAAGAGCAAATCTTATAAGCAAAATTAACGCTCAAATCGAAGGAAAAATCATCCCTTATTCAGAATGTGCCAAAAATTTGGGCTTACATTTAGATGAAGACCTGAGGTTTGAAAAACACTTACAGCACGTTTTGAGGCAAGGTTACGGTTCGCTCCGGCTTCTATTTGTAAACAATTGCATCACTGGTAAGCAATTGAAAAAACAGCTATGTGAAAGCTTGGTATATTGTCTAAGATTTCGTATGGGCTAATAATTTATTACCCCTGCCTAACTGCTGCGAATAAAAGACGTCTACAGATAATGCAAAATACCTGTAGTAGGTACATAAATAATTTGAGGAAATTTGATCATATATCGCATACGTATTCTGACCACAATTGGTTAACTATAGATAATCTATACAAATATTCTGTTATAAGTTCTGTGCATCGTATTTTACTATCCGCATCACCCCCATACCTGTTTGAGAAATTTATTACCAGATCCAGCACGCATAATATTAACACAAGGCATCAGGCTTTCTTTATACTGCCAGTCCATCGTACTGTTTTATATTCAAGAACCTTTATTCACAATGCCGTTAAATATTACAACAGTATTAATTTTCATTTTAAAAATATTGCGAATATTAAAACTTTTAAATTAAAATTGAAGTCCGATCTTCTCTCGCAAACATGAATTGCCACCTATATTTTTTTATTGGTTAATGATGGTTGATTTTAAAAAAAAATCCCTTTGATCACAGTTTTGTTGGTTTAAAACAAACTGATTTAAATGTATGTACCATAGTTATTGTCATCCACTTCTATGTAATTTCGTATAAATTATCAAAACGGGGTTAGGTGGAAGAATAGCTCACGCTAAACCTCCCCCTTCGTAATGTACTAAATGTTTAGTGCAATAAAGACCCTTTATTATTATTATTATTATTATTATTATTATTATCATTATTATTATATACCAAAATAACTCCGTTGCCAAGACTGCCTGTTTCATCTTCGTAATAAGGCATATGCAATTTGATGGAATTATCAAAAAGGATAATATAATATTTAACAAGCCTAAGAACTGATGAAATGTAGTCGTCAGCAACAAATCTTGTCTGGATCACGATAGGACGATCTTTGATATAAGTAACAATATATTTTGAGCATCTTATTTTACTATTTCGCTGCTGACTTGCATATACTTCTAGAGCCGTCTACCAAGTTGGAAGGCTTCAGCTCATTGAACGTCACTGCTAACACAGGGCACAACGATATAACTGTATTAAAAGACACATCGCAATAACATATTTAAGTTCACTCTCTGCCATTTTCATACTTAACTATTGCTACCTTAAAGTGCTCCAGCTTCTGTCCGATTTCCAGTTTGCGTTTATCTTTCTCTACCTTGAAAGCAAAAGCCGCAGCATTTCAATTCAATTCAATTTATTTTCCATAGACAGACAATACTGAGTAGGAATTGTCAATACAATAAATCCTAAGGGCAAAAATAAATTTAATTGATGAAGTTTCCTGATAGAACTACAAAAACCTTGTCAGACTGTAAAAATTGTTCTCTAACAGATAACTTTTGAGCTCTTTCTTAAAGGATTTCTTACTGGCGTTTACTTTTATATAATCTGGTAGACGATTGAACATTTTTGATCTCATTATAATGGGCGAAGTTGTAGTTGTATTATATCTGGCAAATGGAACTTGTAATGAATCTTTTGTCTTGTATTTATACCATCGAAATCTGTTTTTGTAGTTAAACACGTATATATAAAAAAACTGTAAAATATATTGGACACGTAAGAGGTAAAGTTTTCTGGATGTTAAAACTGTTTAAACATAACTCAGTGTTAGGGATACCAGCAAAAAATTCCGTATCGGAGTCGAAATTCGGCCTTTGGCGTAATAAACTGAGATTATTTGGAGTGTGCTAAATACTGTACGTCGGTTCCTAAACATGAAAAAAGCAAATTTGAATTAGATGTTAACTTTTCACACCGAACCTTTCATGATAACCTTGTCCTCAACGTGCAGACCCAAAAATCTAACTGAGTTGTAATCGCCTGTTTGAAGTGTTGTGCTGCCAACCGTGAAGTGTAAATTACCAATATGATTTTGAATGTTATGGAATTGAAGACATTTTTTTCTTGGTAATAATTTTTTTTATAGTGGGTTAAGGTATTTTCGTCTGGCGCTTAAATATTATAATAATATAGGCTGGAAAAGATATTTTTGAGCAGATAAAGATCTTTTAAAATTATGCTAGGTTTTTTTTTACAGTTCTAATCACCTATGATTTGTTTATATTAAGTTTATAGCAGCTATGTTTATTAAAACTTCTGTTGTAGTGACGTAAAAGTGTATATAGAAGCAACAGAATGCATTTTCAAAATCAGTTAATGTATACAGATTTGATAAATCCTCAGTCATCAGATCATCCTTAAATTTAAGAAAATTTTTGTCATTAACGCATCTTCGAGTTATTGTTTTTTGTCGTTAAGGCTCTGATTAGAAGAGATATCAAATTCCAAATAAATGCTTCTGTGGCCCGATATTTCATTATTTATCTAAGACAGTACGCAAACCTTTATTGTCAAAGTTAATGTAAATATGTTCAGTCATTGTGGAAGTATGACTGGTCATCCGTGTAGGCCAATGTACAATTTGTTCAGAATTGTACGTCGACATCAAGTATGTATCAGAATGACATTTTTGTGGACATCTAAATCACAATCTACACACACAATAAAAGTAACACAAGGCTTATTGTATAAAACGTACTGAACGGAGTTTCTATATAAATACCTTCACACCTCTACACAGATTTCTATAATAGTCTAAGAGAATATTTGTTTTCTCTCTAGTTTTAAAGTTGATAGTACATTTGCTTCAATTTTGCTTACTAAGTGCCGTAACGTCAGTCGTGGGACGCCTTTATGGCTTTCTCGATTTTCATAGTTTTCTACTTGTTAGCGCTCTATTTTGAGGTTATGTTACAAATATCTACTTGCATAAAATTGTGCATACTTTAGATTTATAACATTTATTATATAGCCTGAAATTTCAAGAACTAAACAGCCTGACAATAGGAGAGCGGAACGGCATAAATCTAGAAATATCCCAGCCTTTCTCAAGCAGAGGAAATACTATGAAAATCAAGGAGGCCTTAAAGGCGTCCTACAAATGTAGGAACGACTGACGATACGACCCTTAAGGTGTCTATAGTTTTAAATATCTCGGTGCAAGTGTTTCAAAGTGCCTAAATTGTTAGTTGACTGAGAATTTAATGGGGGACGTATAATAGCTATGACCACTACATACTTTTATCACTCGCCAAATATATATGTTTTTTAATACCCGACACGTATTTCGTCTGCCAACACCTTCAGAGAAAGACTACAACTAAAAGCCTAACACTACACAATATACGAGCCCCTTCCCACTTCAGTTGGCCCAACTATTGAAATCTTAGTTTTTTCTTATCAAACACAAATAATAGAAATGTAGCAGGGTGTTATAGGTTTACAATATTAACAATGAATATTTTTATAATATATAGTAGAAAACACCAACTTTATCACTCCCTAATCAAATTTGCAGCATAAAAATAACACATGTTGCAATTACAGCATATCAACCTATTTTCATTTTAATGCAAAATAAGTCTGTAACGCATAGGTGGCTGTGAAAAATAAAAGCCATGACAATTGTTTTTATTAATCACAGCGGTCAGAATATGTTTAAAATAGTTTTGGGTAGTTAAGGTTCTCAAAATGGATAGAGGAAAGGTTGTTAGTGAGAAAATTCGGTTACTGATAATTAAATTTTTTAATTCTGGGAAATCAAACTCAGAAATTGCAACTTTGTTAGACTTATCGCGGTACAGTGTAAGAAATATGGTTAGAAGATATAACGTAACTGGTTCAGTTAATATTAAGCCACCATATGTGAAAAAAGTAATATCACAAATGCCGACCGAAGAGCATTAAAAAGAATAATCGTGAAAAACAGGCGTGCCAATTATTTACAATTTAGTGCTCTGTGGAGTGACGCTGTTGGAAGGAGAATTTCTAGGTCCACAACTCGTAGAGAGACCCACAAACTGGGATTTAGCACTTGCAAGGTAAGTTTTCTTATAACAAAAAGTGAAGTAAAAACCCTAAAGTTGCACTACTTGTTTATAGGCCAAGGAAAAGCCACTATTAACTCCAGTGCAAAAGAAAAATCGGCTTAGATGGTCTAAAGAACATAGACAATGGACATCTCAACAATGGTGTGCAATACAATGGAGTGATGAAGCCCGATTCGAAGTTTGTGTTGGTGACAGTCGCTGTAGAGTTATTCGCAAAAAATGAGGCATTCCATGTTGACCGTCTGAAAAGAAAAGTGAAATTTCCAGCATCCATTATGGTCTGGGGCAGTGCGTCATCAAAAGGGGTAGGAAAACTTCATTTTATTGATGGAAATGTGGATACAAACAAATATTTGGCAATTTTGAAGAATCGCTTTTACCAGTGATGGAAGAATATTTGACATCCGGCCAAGATTTTGTGTTTCAGCAAGATGGTGCAGCGTGTTTTAGAAGTAAATAGTTTCGTCATGTTTAGTTTATAAAGGCATATTTTGGTACAAGTCTTGAAGTGGGAAGGGGCTCGTATAATGTCCAACTGACCATAACCACATCAACAAATCAGGATCGTCATACCTTTACAAGTACACGTCACCTTTAAGCAGCTAGAACTTACAAAAGGAAGATGGGAGTATTACCTCTGTCCTCAGGTTAATAACATTACAGACTAATTCTAAATTAGATCTATCTGTCGTATGTTCCCTATTGAACATGTGTTCTGCTACATTAGGTCTGTCTATTGTACGATCTCTTAAATCTCTTTGAACTTAGTCTCAATAGATCTTCAAGTTTGTCGGTTATAATATTCATCACAATAACTTCAACTGACTTCATTTACTCCACATCTTTCAAGTATGTTTACTTTGTGTAACTGGAAATGAAAGATGTTTGTTTTTCGGTTTTTCTCTTTCAACTTGAAATGTTGTGGAATTTCGAAGTGTTTTCTTGAAAGTATGTTTACCAATTAATTTTACCGCAAATAACTATTGACCCTGATCACTTCCTTCGTCATTTTGTTTTCTTTCTGGAAACTTTCTTTGCTTAGCGAGAAAGAGACTAGCGTGTGAACTAAAAAGTTGTTACAGTGGTTAGAGTCGTTGATTACTATACTACAACTATTTAAAACTGTAATGACTCATACGCGTGATCAACACGTGATCAGAGCTCGATCCCGGCTTCCTTCCAGGACAGCCGTATAGCGTACGACATATGTCGTTTCTGTGGCTTTGCGGTGGTCAACAGCACAGACAGAGATGGAAATAATGGCTGATTGTTCTCAGCCGGTAGAACCAATGAAATCAAAGACGCGCCTCGACCGGCAGACTCATAGGCGTCGGCAACGCATTGGAACGTGTTTCGTTGAGCGATCGCATATTGTGTGTTTTTATAAGAATTGTTGTGTGATTGTTATTGTTGTGGTTTCTGTGGTTACTGTTTTGGTTATACTTAACCATGGAGAGTACAAATGGCACGAGTGGAAGTACTGAAAGCCAGGCAACAAGTAGACGGCTTCGTAAAGCACTGAAGAGGGACGCGAAAGAAATCGTGCTCAACGTGTTCAATTATCTGAACAGAACTATGTCGCAGGGAGATGCACTCGCGCGTTGTGAAAGTATGACAGGCGTTCCAGAGTGGACCATTCGCAGGGTGGTGCATGAAAAGAAGAAAACTGGAGCTACTACTGATCCAAAGTTTAATTTGAAGGGACGAAAGGCCGTTAAATTGGATGACGATAGCAAAATGGCGTTAAGGCGAACCGTACATTCATTCTTCTTTAGGAATGAGATACCAACCCTTAAGGCTGTACATGCAGCGATCAAGGAAAATGAAATTATACCCCAAATGTGCGTCGAGGTAATGAGGAAATCCCTGCACGAAATTAATTTTCGTTACGAAACGCGTAATCGGAAGTCAGTATTGATATAGAGACCTGAAGTAGTCGCCTGGCGTCGAAAATACCTACGCGAAATGATTGAATATAGGCGACAAAGCAGAAAAATCTATTATTTGGACGAGACATGGGTAAATGCAGGTCACACAGTTAAAAAAACCGGGATAGACAAAAACGTAGCGAGTAACCGACAAGCAAGCATTGAAGGTTTGTCAACAGGTCTTCGTGGACCGTCAGGTAAAGGTCAAAGATTGATCGTAACTCATATTGGTAGCGATAGTGGCTTTTTAGAAGAGTGTGACTTGATTTTCGTCTCTAAGAAAGGAGGTGATTACCATGACGAAATGAATGCCAGCTGCTTCGAGAGCTGGTTTCAAGGGGTGCTTCAGCGAGTTGAGCCCAACTCTGTGATCGTCATGGATAATGCTTCCTACCATAGTCGTCGAGCCGAACGTGTACCGACTATGGGATCTCGAAAAAGTGACATGCAGCAATGGTTGCGCGAAAAAGGAATCCCGTTTGACGATTCATGTGTGAAAGCGGAATTGTATGAAAAAATCAAACAGCACAAACCTGCGAACATTAGTTACGTGACTGATGAGATGGCCCGTCAATGTGGTGTCACTGTGCTGCGGTTACCGCCCTACCACTGTGAGCTGAACCCAATAGAGCTCATCTGGGCTCAAGTGAAGGGTTATATTGCGCGCCATAACACAACCTTCAAATTACCAGACGTTAAGGTAGTAACGCCCGAAGGTTGGCAGAATGCTATCCATCATGTTGTGAAGGAAGAAACAAAAATGTGGCAGCTTGGCCACCACATCGACACTATCATAGAGCCAGTTATAGTCAATTTCAACGAGGAAAGCGATAGCGACAGTTTGTTACTGTCAGATGTAAGTGGAAGCGACGATGAATAAAGGTAATTCCCAAATTTTTGACTTACAATATGTTTCAAACCACTCTTTATTAAGCATGTGACAAATCTAGTTCACCCATGTTAAACATTCATACCCCGCCTATGAACAGCCGACTACTGGTAGTTAAGTGATGTTCACGTGAACATCGATGAGTCATTACAGTTTTAGATATTTACAGTTATAGGAGCTAAACTTTGCAGAAATTCATCTGACAGACTACCCATACTGGGGCGTTTCCTATAACATATATCTTATAAGAAACCTCAGAACGTAAAGGAAATATCGTGCGTTATGATCTTACTCATGCATAGCCCATAAACTTGTGCCTGAAATTTTTAACATCCTGCATTATCGTTGTTCCCTGTATATTTACAATTTTGCATCTGATACTACAGCTACTTTAAATTCTGTTATGTTGTTATTTAGGGTCTGGTAATCCTAGAATGGAAGCTGCAACGCAGATCAAACTGTTTCTTCTGACCCTCTCATGTATGTTCACTTTTGTTTTATACTTGGCAACGTCGCGGCATGCTTTGAAACAACCACATCACTCTCCGTGCATCGCCACTTCGTAGAATGTTTGCCATTTCAGCGTCTGGAAAAATGAGCATTTCTGAGCTTGCATTTCTTTCCGATTTATTTTGTTGTGCATTTTACTAGCTGGACGTGAGCTGTTCAAAATTCGTGTCAGGAATTTCGATTCCAAAGTTATTGGATTTCACTTGCGTTTCTACGTTTTCATCACGATATAACCGAAAATGGATCATTCTGGCATCAGCGAATATGGCATTACATTATGTGGAAATGAAGCTCTTCATTTCGAAGCGACAATATATCTGAGGTAATTCTTTAGCGGAATAAGACAGCGCGAAGCGCAATCTACTGCTAGAATCACCCACTGCGAAACAGTGGACCACAGCCTACCGGTTGGGACTGTATGCAAGGTGTTCCTTAATGATATGCGACTATTTAGGGGTGTGAATCTACATGGAAAATTGATGTTAGTTTGCTTCATAAACTATGACCCAAAAACGTTTCTTTGCAAAAACTCGGTGTGTTGAAGTTTTAGGAAAAAAATGGAAATTAATCAATATTTTCAGAAACGCTCCAGATAATTCACAGATACAGAGGACCCCCGATAATCCGGCCCCTGTCTAATCCGGCACCCCCTGTAATCCGACATGTCTTTGAATATTACATACATACGTCTTTGACAATCTTCGCTAATGTAAATCACGCAGGTTTGAACAGGTTACAACTTGTACGCGCCACCGCTATCATGCTCCACGCGTAAGCATTGTTTTACTTAGTTTGGATTTGACTACTTGTGATAGCGGTACGGCCAAGCGTGCGTTCATTGTTTACTATTTATTCATTGTGTATTAAGTATAGTACCTAGTAATGTCATCACAAACTCAGAAGCAAAAGCACAAAACATT